CTCCCAGTGTCTCAGGCAGAAGCAGCTAGTAGCAATCTTGTGGGGTCAAGGCTGAAAATGTGTGTCTTCGGGGCCATTCTCAAGTACGGGGCCTTCAAGTCTTCATTTTCTCAGTGGTTTATTCTGAGCTCTTTCCTCTCGACCTGTTCCTGTTGTATGTATTGATGTTTGTAAACTAATTTTAGCAACTCATCAGGAGCTGTGTTCGGGGTTATTTTACGTCCCTGGGACCTGGCAGATGCAAACCGTGGAATTTGCCAGAAAGAACTGCCTGGGTCACTGTTTACAGCCTCCGCTGATGGAAGCTGGGACTCAAAGTACTGCTTTTCAATTGGAAGGGTCTTCAAGGTCTACTGTGGACCAGGGAATCCAGAAGGATCCGCAGTCATAAGAACAGAGAGGCTGTGAAACTATGATTTTTATACCCATGGGGTTATGGGTCCCTGAAAATGATTTATTAGTGGCTGAAGAATGCTCCTGCAGCTCTTATAGGCAGGCAAGCAGGAAGGCAGAGAGCCAACAGAAGAGTTTCTGTCACTGCTTTCTTGATGCTCTTGATTATAGATACCATTGTTTTGCGTCTTCCCTCCTCCCTAGCCTACTTTCACTGTCTCTAATTACATCCTTTAATGATTTGACCAATTAAAGACTGCAGTTCAACCTATAGGGGAAAGGATGGGAAATTAGAGGCTGGCACACAGGCGTCAACGTGGCTACACTTCTCCCAAGGTTACACACCTCTATTAAGCCCGACGGCTATTTGAAAAGCCTCATAATGGGTGACGCTAATAAAATAAGCACAGGGACATTTTCAGCTTCTCCCAAGTGAATACCCCAGAAGGACGCACTGTGAAAAGCAAAGGTATATCTATAAAACCAGAGCTTACCTTTTTCCCACCCTCCCTAAAAGCGCCATGCCAGCCACATTTCTTAGTTAATGTGAAATGCAATAATTGCTTTGTCAGGGTTTGGGAGAGCAGAGAGCTCTCCTCCCACCTCCCGCCTTTGCCTGGAATGGAAATTAGGGCAGAGCTGCTGGTTGCCATGGAGGTGGGACGAGGAGTCCTCTGCTCTCAGATGCAGCTCTGACCCTGCTGCGGTGCACTCCGAGGTTTTGGGGAGCCTGGCAAAGCAGCGAGTTTCAAGAGGAGGGGACTGGAAAGAATGCTTCGTTTCCCCCAGGGATTTGTGTGGGAAAAGAGGGAGAAAGGACACCCTGTTATCTCTGGTTGCAGCAGAATGTGAATTTGTATTTCAGATGATTGGCGTCATTTTGAATCTGCGTCCCACACGGCTCCCTGATCACCTCACTCACTCTGATGTCGTGCCTTTCCCTGTAATTCCTTCAATCTCGTTTGCCTGCTGGCTGACTCCTATTCATCTTCAGATGTGACCACATTTATTGAGAACATATTGTGTTGCCAAGGACCAGGGAAGCCAAGATGTCTCAGGCACAGACTCAGCCCTGGCAGTGATGGGAGTTGGGAATTTCCCTGCATGGTAGGGAGGGTGACTTTAGATCTGTCGTGGGGGGTCTGGGTCTGGGGGAGGGGACCAGACAATGAGTTCTGGATGTGCTGATACCTGCTTCAGTGAGCATGAGGAAAGGAAGGATTCCAATAGAGGTGAACACTCAGGGACAGCCTAGAGCTGGTGCTGCTCCAAGAAAAAGGCAAGGGGGCATGGGAAGAGCTGGGCCTGCAGCAGGGGGCAGAGGCTAGATCCAGAGCCACAGGTGATCTGATTTGCAACAGCAGCAGGTGAATGCCGTTGTATTCTACACATTTCCAAGGTGGTCCAGCCCTGGCAATAACCCGTGCATTTCATTGAGATGCATGGGTTGTATCACTATTCTTTTGATTGCACAGAGTCTACGAACTTCTCTGAGATCACAAAACCAATCAGTAGTAGGGGTGTAAAATAACTCGGCCATCTGATTATAGTACACTGCTGCCCACACTGAATTATGTCCAATCCTAAAACTGCCCTGACTACCCAGGTTTCAGGAGGATACAGCTTCTGTCTGGATATATCACACATGGTCAGGATACATTACTGTTGGACTATACTGTTAATAGGTGCTTATGTATAGAGAAATACACATGCCTAAAGGTTTAAGGAGAACACTCCTCTTTCTGTTTCTGTTTTTGTTTAAGTTTTGCTGTAGGGTACATGCACTGGCCAGAGAGAGACAGAGAGAGAGGGAAAGTGAGAAATCACTCCCTCCTGGGGGAAGGGGGGATGACCATGCTGCAGTTGCTTCTCTGCCAGTCTCTTCTTGGGGTTTTGGGCATGTACACACACATACCCAGTATGTTTTTCTAGCTGCCGGGCCTGGAACTCAGAACCACTGAGTCAGCCATATGGGATCCAGAGCCTTAACCTCTGTGCCACCTCCTGTCCCAAGAACAGTTTTATAACACATATCTTCCTTTGTTTTTGCTTCCTTTTAAAATGTTTTGATACTTTTTTTTTCTTTATAGAGAGATTTTTTTCTATAGGGTGTATGAGCTCACTGGGAGAGACAGAGAGAGACAGAGAAAAAAATGCCCCCCCAGGGAGGATGGCCATACCACAATCCTTTCTCCTTCATTCTCCTCTTGCAATCCTGGGCATGCATGCACATGCGCCCAGTGTGAGTTTTAAGCTACTTAATCTGGGACTTGAACCACAGTCAATATGTGGGAGTCCAGTGACATAACCATTATGCCATCTGCTGGTCCCAATACTTTTTTTTTCTTTCTGTCTATATTATCATTATAACCAACTTGTAAAGTCCAATTCTGCCTTAAAGCTACTATATTCTTCTTACCATTTTCTGTGTTGTATCTTTCTTTTTATCTTTTATTTACTAGAGAATGTGTGTGTTTGCTAGAGGGATGAGGAGAGAGAGAGAGAGAAATAAGGAAAGTGAGAAAGCACCTGCCATAGGGGAATGGTTCATGTCACAATCCCTTCTTCTTCATTTCTCCTTTGGGGATTTTGGGCCTGCACACGCACTTGCCTAGTGTTTTCCCAGCTTCCAGGTCCAGGACCTGAACTCTGCAGTTGGCTATGTGGGATCCGGCTTTCTTAACCACTACATCACCAGCTGGCCCAGTACTCTTCTTTTTAATGTAGGAATTAAAGACTCATAAGGTTTTAGAGAAAGCCTGAAGATTGCTTGAATTTCTTATGTGATGAGTCTGATAAGGAGCAATCTGGTCTCTGCTTGGGTACCAAGCAGATGGTGCACTCAGTACTCTTAGGGGACTCTCGTTCTAATTCACGTTCATATTCAAAGTTTGGAAAAGATTTCCATTTCTGAGCCAAAATCTGCTATCCTAAGTCTTTACTCCTTCATACATTGATTCACTTATTCACCCAAGATTATTGGTACCTATGAATACTCAGCGCCATCGTAGGCCCTGGAAGACAAAAGTGAGTCAGCCCGGTTCTGTGCCCTCCATTCCTTAGCTGGGTTTCTCTAGAACATGGTGTCTTTTCACCCTGATTTCTTAGCAAACCACAAAGCCCTCTTGCAAAGCATTGGTTTAGTCTGGTATTGAAGACAATCAATAGGGAGAATCTTCTCATATTTCACTGCATACCCAAAGTTGTGTTAATTGGCACTTGGGCACCGTCTGTCATGTCTTGTTGCTTAATTAAATTCACATTTGTTTTGAGTGTTCCTTTTACTCTGCTATTTTTTATGCATGAGAGGATAAAAACAAATGAGGAAAACATTTTATAGTTAAATTGGTTTGAAGGAAATTGTCCTGAATCATAACTCTTTATTGTTCAGATAGCCTTTTATTTCAATGTCTTTTGTTTTCCAACAAAACCACAAGCTAGTTGACCTTGCCCTCTTCTTGTCTTCTTCAGTAGAGTCTAACCTTGGCCAGGGACATTCACGTTGACGATCTTCTTCTTGAATTAGAAATATAATAATAATGGGACCAGCAGATAGTGTAATAGTTACAACACTGGACTCCCATGTAGTCAACTACCATGTGAGTCCTGGACCTGACAACTTAAAAAATTCACACTGTAGTGTGTACATGTGTGTGTAAGATCTCGAGAGAAGAATGGAGGAGAAGGGATTGCAGTGTGGTCATCCACCCAGGGGGTGATTTCTCACTTTCTATTTCATTGTTTCTGTTTCTCCAGTGAGCACATGTGCCCTATAGCAAAAAAATTCTCTCTCTAAAAAGAAAAAGAAATATAATAATAACAATAGCAACTTATATGCCTATAACGCTTCTTATCAAGTTCCCTGTATATTCATCAGTTCGCTAATCTTGTGTATAGGATCTTTTTGTTCTTTTTCCTTCCTTTTACTGCCCACTGTGCCTGCCATTTGGTAGTCATTTTTTCATGACGGTGAATGAGATTTTGAGCATAGGTCAATTTTATTTCTGGTGTGAACTATATTGAATAACAAAGTGTTCATTTGTTTTTTCTTTCTTTCTTTCTTTCTTTTTTTTGGCTTTTGCCATAGAGCACTGGCACTCACCAGAGAGAGACAGAAGGAAAGTGAGAAGTCACATCCCAGGGGGAGTAGTCATGCCACAATTCCTTCTTCTCCATTCTCCTCTCAGGGTTTTGGGCATGCACACACATGCACCTGACATGATTTTCAAGCTGCTGGTCTGATACTCGAATTGCAGTTGAGTTGGTCATGTGGGAATCCAGGACCTTAACCACCATGCCACCTGCTGGCCCCATGAAGAGTTAATTTTTTGTGAGCAGGCATTTATCATTGTATTATCAAGCAGATTAATTATTCACAAATCAAAATGAAGTTTTATCAATTTTCTTTGATAAATTATATTCTTGGTAGAGTAAAACTCATATGAAGAGCATAAATTGGAAATTAAAAAACCCATTATTAGAAGGTTTATGTGGTCAGATGGGAGGCAGAGATTTTTTTTTTTTTTACCTAAGAGTGAGAATTGATTAACACAAAACTATAAACAGAGGATATTATCAAATCTGTCAGGCAATTAATGAGCACTTACTTGCATTAACAGCTATCCCGTAGGCGACCAATTTATGGAATTTGAGGTTTTTGTCCAATTGCCTTTTCCATGGTCCTCTGCAGCACTGGAATAATAAAAAAATGCCTGATTTAGGGGAAAATCACAGTTTTAATAGCTACACGAAAGTTAAGAGAGTAGGACTTAGACTCTGACTCTAAATTGCTCAAGTGGGGCTACACTGACATGAAAGTAAATAGTCATTAGTCAAACAGGCGAAGCCAGAGGTTATTAGGTACTTGGCTGAAATTTCAACTAATAAAAGTGATTGAATTAGTAGATCCCTGGCTATCATTCAAAACTCTTGAATAGACCTGCGAAGATATCTATGCCTCTAACAGCTGTTTAGAAAATGAAGGTGATAACCATCATTCTAATCTTTGTGATTTTAGTAGTTTATAAATTATTTCTCATTACACGAAGAAAGATATTATATAAATCTACATAAATAAATGGTCTCAAAATCATGTTGATGCTGATATAATGAATTATTGCATTGGGTAAAGGTTATAAGAGGACTCATTTTTCTCTGGGTTATTGGTTTAACAGGAAACACAAGTTAAGTAGTCAACACAGTGAAATTAATAGAATTAGGAAATGTCTCATTATGTCTGATAGGAGTTAAAATTTACATACTAAAATCTGTGTACTATAATTGTGCTTTCTGGGGGTGAGAACTCAGAGAGATATTTCCTGGGTGCTATTTATTTTAACTTTTTAAAAAAATTTTTATAGTTGTGTGTGCTTGCCAGAGTGACAGAGAAAGAGACGGAGAGAGGAAAAGTGAGAACACACCCCTGGGGGTGGAGGGAAGGCAATGTCATGATCCCTTCTCTGTTCTTCTCTTAGGATTTTGGGCATGCACACACATGCACCCAGTGTGTTTTTTAAGCTATTAAGTCTGGGACTGGTACTGTGTCTTTAGCTATGTGAGCTCTAGTCACCTTAACCACCACACTATTGGCTGGACCCTCAATTGCTTATTTAATCTTCTTTCAGTCATTAACGGTATACGGCATGCTGTTACAGGGCTGCCATCTCCATGAATCAGGTCAGTTTTCTTGGCCCTATTTTTCAGATGGAGTAAATGTGTCCGAAAGGGATTGAGCAAGGAGCCCAACGTCATTGTACAAAGCCAAAGGTAAAAACCCAAGTCTCATCAGATGCACTGATGACTGATTTTCAGTTTTAGCCATTCTGTTCTGACAAAAACACAAACTTATATTTCACAGGGTTACTGGGCACTTCATAGTAAAGTACGTCACAGTTTCAGTGGCACTTAAATTAGTATGTTGTAACAACTGAGATTATTTTAAGTACTATCGTGCTTACCATACTTGTTCCTCTCATGAATGAAATAAGGTTTCGACTGATAGGTAATAGGATTAGCATGCAGTTAAAATTCAGGCACAGGGCAGATGCTCGGGCCCAAGCCAATGTTGACTGTCCATATGTAAAGACACAAGAAAGAGATTCGGTGAAAACAAGGAAGCCAGGAAAAATAGAATTCATTGCATTTTGTTTTCTGAAACAATAATGCAAAGTCACCAAATCTACTTACACCCAGGATGACTCGTGTGTAAAGGAAAGACTCTTCCTCTTCATACCAACAGAATGTGTCAATAAACAGATATAAATTCACTCCCAGCCACAAGAGCTAGTATAGAATAACAAGAGAAACAATCAATACTATTTTTTTTTTTTTTGGAGAGGTTTTTGCTATAGGGCACGTGCACTCACCAGGAAGACAGAGAAAGACAGAGAGACAGAAACCAAGAAATCACCCCTCCGGGTGGGAGGGCCATGCTGCAACCCCTTCTCCTCCATTCTCCTCTTGGGATCTTGGGCACACATGCACACACGCCCGGCATGAGTTTAAGCTATCAGGTCCAGGACTCGAACCGTGGTCGACTACATGGGAGTTCAACGACATAGCCATTAAACTAACTGCTGGTCCCAATCAATACTATTTTTAACCTTTTCTTGTATTCAAAATCACCTGAGGTTTTTATAAAGTGAAAAGAACAGCTTTTCAATATTAATCAGAATTAGTCCCTATTTACTTCTTATAGATTCATTTTAACAGTGATTACAATGATATGAAATTATTAATGTCACAAGAAATGATTTTAGACACATATGGGTCAGCTTTAAGTAATTGAACGAAAAGTATAAAACTCTCTCAATCAATGTTGCTTGACAATGTTGTCAAGAAGGAGGAAATCTTTAAAAGCAACTCAGACAGTACTCCAGAAAAAAATTCCAATTTCATAGTTGATTCTAAGACTTCATTTGATTTAGAAAAACATTCATACATTATGCAAAAACAAACTACTTGACTTTAAAAATAATTAAAAATGAACTCAATCGGAAAACAACTTTGCCTGATTCTATAAGGGTAAATTAAATCTATCTACTGAATGTTTTCTAACACGTTTTAGTCTTTTAACTAGAGTAATACTTCAAGCAATTTAGCATTCCTATACAAATTATCCTTCAAATCACAGACTATGCAATATATATATATATATTTAGAATTAAATAACAAAAATGATACTTACTGCTAATATGACAGAGAGACTCTCATTTAAAACCCAGCAACCCATTATGATACTTTTGCTCTTTTGCAGTCAGCAAATTATTCCTTTCGTTCACCTGAGCCTGGATTTTATGACCTCAGAAAGGGCTTCCCTACCAAATTATTTCTTTTCTCTCTCTCTCTTTTTTTTTTTCCATCTTAGGAAGCACCTACTGCGAGCAGAGGAATTTCTAATTAAGGACTTCTTGCCAAGGGCACATCACCACACTGATATGCCTCATGACCTGGGTAAATACAAGGCAAGTCTTGTCTAATGATTCCTTTCTTCAAAGAATCCATAAGAAAAGAAAGCTCGTTTTATTAAATTGTCCTCGTGTACTTTCTACCCCATTCATTTTCTACATGATTGCAGTCAAGATGATAATAAGTCTTTATGTAAATGTGAGGAATAACCCAAGCTGAAGGCTGCAAGCAGTCAAAGCACTTTTTCTCAAGCTCTCTCTATTTTGTTTACTTTTACTTCACTTCCTTTCCTCCCTTTTCAAGAAAGGTCTTCAAAGTAGACATACATTGAGGGCTAAATAAATATGAATTAAGTAATCTTTCAGAAGAGAGTAAAAATAAAAATCATAACTAGGAGAATTCCATAAGTCTAAAAGTGAAGTAGACTTTTTTTATGGAATTGAGGGAGTTAAACCCATTTTTTTTTCCCTAATCCCATCCAGTGGACCCGTGAAACAATTGAGAGTATCTTTTCTTACCTTAGTGATCTAGGAGAGACAGAATGTAAGCACAGTCGTTCTCTGATTTGTGTTGGTAATGTTTGCCAAATATAATAACTATACCTCCACACTGGTAGGCAAAGCTGACCAAAATGAAGTAATTATTTGACTAACTTTTGGTGCAAATACACCATTAAAATTTTTTAGAAGACAGTGAAGATGAAAATAGGGAGAGATTCAAATCATTTAGATAATTACCTGAGGCATTTCATGGCCATTCCCCCAGGGGATGATTTTTTTTACTTTCCCTCTGTTTCTGTCTTTCTCACTGTGGCGAGTACACGTATGTACCCTATGGCAAAAATCTCAAAAAAAAAAAAAAAAGAAAGAAATTGTAAATATTGCCTATGCTTATAATCCAGGTACTTGGTTAAGAACTTTTTAAGTCTTGTCCAATTAAAACACGCATAGAGTCTATCAAGTAGCTATTAGAAGTCCCATCACATAAATGTGGAAACAAACTTAGATGAAGAAACTTACAGTAAAAGAAGTTGGGACTTGAATTCAGTTCTTTCTGATTTTAGCACCTTCAGTTGTGACTATTACCTCATACTGCAAGTTACTTCATCTAAATACTGTTAGTACTTCATCTATGAAATATTAATATATGAACTTGCTAATCACATGCAGGTGCCCATAACCCAGGCTGGCTGAGGCTGGGTGTAAGTCATGGTATGGAGACCCTGCTACAGGTCCCTGACTCTCTGTCTGTTTCTCTCTCTTTCTCTAAATAAATACATAAATGTTTAAAAGAAAATGGGGATCAGTCCATGACATGGTGGTTAAGACAGCTGGATCTCACATGGCCAACAGTGTGATTCAAGTCCCTGACACGGCAGCTTGAGGAACACGCCAGGAGCATGTGTGTGTATGCCCAAAATCCCAAGAAGAGACTGGAAGAGAAGGGAGACTGTGGTATGGTCATATCCCCTGGGTATGTGCTTTCTCACTTGTCTTCTCTTTCTCTGACTTTCTCCTGTGAATGCACACATCCTATAGCATGTTACTAAAGAAAAAAGTGTTCTCAAAGACAAATGGTTTGCTACCACTGGGAATTAGCTAACTACCCTAATTTGGGCTGTCCTTTCCCAAATCTACAAAGTTCCAAGTTGTTAAATCATCACAAAATGTAGAAAAAATTTTAAAAATTATTAATACAGTATGATAACTTACTTATGTATTTTCTACAATTCATTGGCATTATGTAGAAATAGTATATGTAGTCACCTATAACATATTTATATGCAATTAATAAATCGAAGAGTTCCTATAACTTAAATATGTCCAATTTTTAAGAATGGAATCCATATCTGTACCGTAAGCATGACTAAGATAGCTCTTCTGACCCTCAGTTTCCACATTTATTTAAAAGGACTGATGATATACCTACATTACAGAGTAATTCCCATTTGTCCTTTACCTACAGTTTCCTTAACACACACACTCATTCATAAACACACTCACACATACACACCTCTGTGAGTTGATACCTCTTTTAGAGATGTCTTAGATTTGCCAGAAAAAAAATATACTAAATTTACTTCTTCTTAGAAAAATATGATTTTTAAAGACATTTTCTACTATAGAAAAGTCTAAAAGCATAGATATTTTGGCAGCATTAACCTGAGATTAGAGTACAGTTAGTAAAGTATCTTCAGTAGCTTCTTTAACAGTGAGCAATATAAAGATGTAACTTCTTCATATTCATTTCTTTAAGCCAATAATCTACCATGATAAAATGATTTGTTATTTCTGAAGTGTTTAGGATTTACATATCTTAGAAGCCTTATTCAGTTGGGTTACAAAAATTAATTCAGAGAGAACACATCTAGAATTTGATATTCTCTCTTCTGTTTTAGATTCAGCGAGTGTGAGGAAGAGTTAAAATTTCCTAGCCTTCTGCACTCTTTACACAGTATTCCAAATGACAGATGTGTAATGCTGAATAATAATGTCTGGTCACATTTTTTGGTTAATTGCTTAGACTATTTCTAGTGCTACAGTGAAAATGTAATTTAAAGGCTTAGGTTTAAAAATTAATCTTTACATGCTCCATGCTTATTTCTATAATGCGATTTGTTTATTCCCCATCTCGAATATGTGAAGAACAATGTGTTAGAGTGTAGCTATGGGTCACGTACAGTATACAAAAACGGTTAACAGTTATGTTATTATGAAAGCATAACTCGTGATTTAACTTAAGCATTTTTGTTTACAGGCTTCATTTTGTAATAACTGGCAATACTTTTTTAGTTTACTCATATTAAAGAATCCTATGTGAAATGGCCAAATTCACTCAGAGCTCAATTTTGTGTGAGTGATCGACACACATTTTCTTGTCGACTTTTGTTTTTTCTCATTTAAGAATAATCTGATGACACTGCTGATTGGTTTATAATATTAGGGCCAGATTCCACAGAACTCAAGAGATCATATCTTATATCACACATCAAAGTCTAACTCTTCTGTCTGTGGACTCCTAGGAGAAGTATTCAGTTTTTATTTTTATGTGTAAGACATGAGGCTGCCATCATTACTTGTTCATTTACCTGGTGAATGTGTGGGAATGCATAGCATGTCCCAAAGTTTGCTCAGCTTTTATTTCATTTGAAGGAATCGATACAGATTACAGTTTAACCAAGACTGAACCATTTCCCAAGTTAATGGGATTGAGTTCAAGGAGGAAGGAACGTGTATAAATCCTACTAAAATGATGGACCTGCTTGAATTTTGCTCCATTTTCACCTACTTGCTCTCATGGCTAATAGGCAGTGCCCTTCTCATTTCTCAGAATTTTCTCAGAACAAAAGCAGTGAAATTTTCCTTGCTTGGTTCCAAGGTGGCTACAGTCTGTCTAATTAAATAGATATACTCGTTGGCTCTTCCAGTTCACCACGAAGATGTTGTGTTTTTATTTTTTTTTTTCCTTGTAGCGTTCCCCAATAATAAGTCTTCTATCACAGAAACTGTGAGAGTGAAACAGAATGATTGTGTTTACAAAGGTAGGTTAATTGCTTGTATACATAAGCTCAAACTCTGTGCTGACCACACTAGGTACATGAATTGGATTTGTATTATATTTTTAGTTCCTTTTACTTTTGTAGTTTGATCAGTTGACTCAACAAAGAAACACCAATCCTCCAGGGGAAGATTGATCATCTAGTAGTGTTTCATTTTGCTTACTAAATCTAGGCTTCCTGTAGATATGCAAAATTCAGAGAGGATAAAAATAGAATGGCTGAATTATTCTCTAAGCATTAAACATGATTTTTGTTTTTCTTAAAAGCATTTTTAAACATTTAAGTTTAAGGTGAAAAGGGATTAAAAAATGAAAACAAATATAATTCCAGATACTTACATAATTATTTTCAAAGCATTTATTGTGATAATTATGTAATTATATTGGATAAATCATATGTTGGACAAACTGTTTTAAAACGTAATTAGAATAAAAGGAAAAACTTATAGCCATAGTTTATAATATATCTGATTTCTAAAATATTTTTACATATTTAGTCACTGTACATCATTATATAAAGTGCCTGATTTTAAAATAAAACATAATGAAATTTATCATCAATATCCTACTTTTTGCTAAACTAAGTACACAGGGTTCTTCAAAAAGTTCATGAAAAATGTGTATTATAAAAAAATTATATGTGGATTTATAATTTTTTTGGCACCAAAATAAACTCATCCTCCGATTCCACTTTTCCCATAAACTTTTTGAAGTCCCTTTGTATACTATATTTTTATTTCAGAAAACATTGTGCTCTCTATCAGATACTTCATCAAGTTTTTCCCTCACTTGTGGCTTAACTCTTTCACTATCCAACTCTCACAATTTCTTTTTTCTTTTCTTTTTTTAAATTTTATTTATTTATTTTTGCTGGAGAGAGACAGAGACAGAGAAGCTGAAAGTGGGAAATTCTCCCCCAGGAGAGTGCCATGCTGCAATCCTTTCTCGCCCATTCTCTTCTCTGGATTTTGAGCATGCATCCAAGTACACATGCCCCGGTGTGATTTTCAAGCTGCTGAGTCTAGGACTTGAATTGTGGTCAGTCATGTGGTAATCCAGTACCTTAACCACCACGGCATCTACTGGACTCACCAGTTCTCACAATTTCAAAAGAATACCTGCAGAGACCATGGCACGCATCACACACACCTAGTCATGGTGGGGAGTAGAGGTCTGACTTCCACTCTTTAGAAGTTTATGATGTAGTTGGGAGGTGACAGGCGCAAGTGTAACAACTGAAGAATCACTGAGGGCCAGCTCAGTGAC